TGCAAGAGGGAGAAGAACACGAAACGAAAAACGAACGGGAAGACGAAGAAGAAGAAGAAGAAGAAAAGGAAATCGAAGCTAGGGGAACGACATTCCAACTGGGGTTGGGACGAGAAGCGTCATCCCGTGGAAAGCCGACGCTACCTTTGCGTACCTTCGCCACCGATACGACCTCGTCGCTGAATCCTCCGATCGGTCAACCAGTTTATTCGCTTTTCTCCGACGATTAATAACCCCCGCCGCCGCCATACGTTCGACGAAACAAAAATCCGGAACGGACGGGGCCGACGGAAATAATTAGAGACCCAAAGCCCCGGAAAATTTCTCCGGCTCGAATTATAAAACGGATTGCGATCGGATAACGAAATCGCGATCCAGCGCGGGGGTGTGCGGATATTTTAATCTCGACTCGCGATGCAACTTCCGTAAATCAGATTACAGGGGATAGCGCGTTAAATCATGATGCACGAGGCGTATTGCGTCAAACGAGTAAATTACATTATTAAATCTTCCGAGCCCCGGAGCTTCGTTTGGTGTCTATCCCTGCGACGGAGAAGCGTTACGAGTCATTAATGCAAATCCCGGTAATTACGATTGATGCACGTATTTATTAATCGGAAGGAAGGAGGCTGTACAAAGAAACGAGAATACCGAAATTTTCTGACCGTAAAAAAAATACGTAATGCCTAAATCGCCGTGGTGTATGTCGCGTGCAAAATCGTGCGAGACAAACAAACGCGCGGAACGTTGCGCAAGCCTTAATTAAAGCGAGCGTCGTCTAATTAACGCAGAACACACAGTTTACTCTTACGAGAATACAATGTTCATTATGAAAATTGTACAGTGGCCCGTTAATTATTTTTCGAACCCATCGATGGAAGGTAAACACGCGAAACTACGAAGGCTGGAATAAATTCGTCGCGGGTAAAGCATGTTGAAAAGGTAATCGCATCGAGTTATACAGTTATACGATTATACAGAAAAATTTTAATGGAAGATCTAGAGTTGATTGAGGTTTCGTTAAAAAGTTATTAAAAAATTAAATAAAAAAATTCCAAATCGTTCTAAAAAAAATTATTTTTAGGTGCAAGGATCGCTTATAAGTATTTTTGGTGAACGGATATACCTTTGAAATCCTATCCATTTTCGAGAAAAAAATTCAGGAAGGTGGACAAATTTTTCGACGAAAAAAAAAATTTCAAATCGTTCTAAAAAAATTATTTTTAGTTGCAGGGGTCGATTTCAAGTATTTTTGGTGAATAGACATACCCGTGAAATCCTATTCAATTTCGAGAAAAAAAATTCAGGAAGGTGGACAAATTTTTCTACGAAAAAAAAATTTCAAATCGTTCTAAAAAAATTATTTTTAGTTGCAGGGGTCGATTTCAAGTATTTTTGGTGAATAGACATACTCCTGAAATCCTATCCAATTTCGAGAAAAAAATTCAGGAAGTGGACAAATTTTTCGACGAAATTGAAAAGTTTCAAATCGTTCTAAAAAAATTATTTTTAGTTGCAGGGGTCGATTACAAGTATTTTTGGTGAATACACATATCCTCGAATTCCTACGTACTTTCGAGAAAAAAATTCTTTACCGAAAATATACTGTGTGGCTGGAAATGTTTCTATAACTTTTTAACGAAGCCTCAATCAACAAATTAGTATCCTTGATTTTCGACTTATTTTGGCCTCTAGAATTTCCCATTAAAATCTTTCCCATGCGTGGCCAAACGCCCTGTATATTTTGAAAAGCGGAGCCACCGCCTCCGTCGAAACAACTATTTTTACAAGGTCTAAATTTGATTTTACCCGCGACGCATCGACAAAGGAATATCCTCTGCGGAGGGTCGGCGAACGAGGAGCAAAATATCGCACAAAAAGCTGGAGTTATGGAGGCCCCGGAAGCAACGATATCGGTTGCACAAAAAGCTGGACAATCTTGCGACGCGTCGTCGGTCGGACGTTCCATCACGCCGGCGGACGTAATTGAACCGAATCAGAAATTACGGAAAAAAGGAATACAAAAAAAAGTGAAAGAGAAGAGAGCAGGGATGCTGCGGGCAAAGAGTCTCGTCCGCGAAAACACTTACGGGCGTAGATGCGCGAAGTAAAAGAGAATCACCGCTGGACGCCGGCCAAATCGAGTATGGATTTTTAATTGTTACGCCAGGACGCGACCGCGGCGGCGGCGGCGGCGGCGGCGGCGTCGTTTCAAAAGTACGGAATTGAGAGTAACGCGGTGCCTGGCTGTCGGTTTAATTGAATGACGATAAATCGAAAGGGACGGAGAAAGAGTTGACGGAAAAGAGCGGGAGGATGCATAACCGATCAACTCGCGTTTCGAAGCACACGTACGGTACACCCGCCGACAGACGATAAATAAAGTTGACCGCCAATCGGACGGCCGAGCTAGCAATCGATAGCGACCGGTCTTTGATTAATTACAGGAGCCACGCGCGACCGTTCGTATCGAATTAACTATTCGATGTATTTTTAAAATTCGTCCGACGATAGAGAGCACCGCGTTTGGACGGAGTTTGATCTTAAAAATGGTCGATTTTTCGTAAAACACCGCGTGGAACGTCCACGATTATACGCCGCCGTTGCGGAGGACTATCCGAAGAAAAGATCTCCCGGACGCCGGAGAAGAAAACACGGATTAGGGGTTGGTCGAAAGATGGGTTCGAGAAATCCCGCGGATTTCGAGCTCTCTGTCGTACCTGGCTACCCTCCGGGATCCTCTCGCATCCCATGGGAAATCGGTCTAAACGGGGTTGTCCAAAACAGGTTTTCGAAGATCACCGCGGCGTTTCGAAGAGTAGCTGCTTCGGATGACCGTGACAAATCGCCGCCGCCTCGGGACTAACGCTGCGAGACTATCAATCACGATGAGAGATATTCAAATGGTGGAGCCAGTCCATTAAAAATAGATCTTTCGCGCGGCGGAAGAGAAAGACGATCCATTTATCAACTCGTTATACGAACGTTTCGATACGGTCGCGGGATACCTTGATGTCCGGTTTTGTTTCCCGAGCGGTTAGGGACAGAATCGCTAAAAGGTGCGAGAGGAGCGTCGAATCGCTCGTTGTCGCGATAAAATACAAACATTCGTAAACGAGGTCGCAGGCTGCCGCGACGTTTATCGGTAGCGAATAAAAATAACGGTGGTGGGGAGAAAAAATGTCGAATGGGGAGAAATCTGACTCGGTACGTCCCTGAGTCGAAGTTATCCGAGCTCCATGAGAGAGCCGATTATATTAAATGGCTGGTAAAACGGTCTGCTTAACATAGCGTTTATCTGCTCCTCTTGGTTTTAGTACTTTTTCACTGCCTCGTCAGCCATTGCCCATAAACTCTACTACAAGCCTTGCCTCTTTCTCTCTCTCTCTGTACAGCCCTCGTCGCTTGTTCTCCGTTACCCTATACATTTTTCTCTGTACCTTCGTCTGACCTACGCTCGCGTACATGCACGGGCCAGCCACCCATGTGTTTCTGCCTGTGCGAGAACGCGACCGTGTATACTTAGCACCGACTCATAAAGAATACAAAACCATTAAAACGACTCATCCTCTTGAGTGCGCTCATCATACTTCGACGCCTTTTTTGTTTACGTAAATCCTCTTTACGCTCTCGACTCTGTCTCACTTTCTCCGTATCGGACGATGAAAGAACTCTTTAACGGTGGCCATCGAACCATGGGGATTTCGTGTGTCGCTTAAATACAATACCATAGAAATGAAAATATTGTAAATCCTCTAATTATCACCAAAGTACACTCGAGTAAAAAGTGTAGGAGGAAACCGTAAGCAGTAGATCTTTTGTCTACGTTCGCTTAAAAAAGGTCCAGTTTCCTGGTTCTAGACTGATCCTGCAGGAAAAAGAGCATCGTTTCGCGACGATGGGGCTAGCCTCCCTTTCGAATTTTTATCGAAGAGACATATACAACGGAAGCTGTACGTGGAATGTCGTCGACGCCGAACCCTCGACCAGCACAATACCACCCTCGTCGCGAGAAAGAAGGAGACTAGCCGGCCGCTGTGAGAGGAGGGGAGAGCGAGGAACAAGAGAGAGGAAGAGAGAAAAATGTGTGTAGGATATACACATATACTTACGGCAGAACGACGTGAAAGAGGGTGGCTTAGCATGAGGGGCGTGGTGGCTCCACCACCCCCATCAAACGACCAGGCAGAAACTACTTTTGGGGTAGCCGACCCACACACCTCCTGCTCTCCACCTCAGTCCCCCTTATGCCCCTTGTCGGTTCGAGGCAAGCCAAGCCAGAGCCAGCCAGCCACCCCTCGCACCCGAAAAATAATTGCGCGTTTCGTGGTCTCTTGATCCGCGCGTAAAAGTAATCCAAACATCGCATAAAAATTATGTTTACGAGTTTCGAATGGGCGCAGGGGTCGGCCCTGCACCGCGCGCCCAAAACGTATCAACAGCCTCTCTCCACTCGCTCGAGTCTAGATAGGGATCTCTCGTTCTAGGAATTTCTCAGATTGTTTAGAACTGCTCGCATGCGAGAGGCGGACCCGGTGCACGCGAGTTACGAGGTGATCGCCCGTACTTTTATGGAGCGTTCTCTCTTATCTCGTCGGCGTCTATTTAATCGGTACTCGTTTATCGTAAGTTTCGGGAGATGGTGACCGACGATACACGAATCGGATTACTACGCTTCCAGCGAATACCGTGACGAATTACTTTTCGAAAAATGATCCAACGGGCGCGAGAACGCGCCGATCCAATCTTACTCTCTGTGATTCTATTTAATTCGACGCTTGCTCGATTCGATACGCGCGAAATCGAAGTTTAAAATATTCCATTAATTTTCGAGCAGCAACGGGAGAAACTGCAGATTTTCTGACGTCTCTTAATTTATGGGATACGTTCGCGGCACACCGGTAAATATTGGATCACGATTTGTGACGCACGGTCACACGAACGGCTCGAGCGCCGCCTCGTAATAACCAGCCGGATTAAATAAGAAAGTAAAAACTCACCTGTTTTCTCCTTGATCTCGCACAAAACCGAAAACAGGGCCGGCTTCATTCTGTGACAGTTCAAGGTGTGTTTCCTGGCGAAACAGACGAGAAAACGTAAGTCGTAGCGTACGACCGAAAAGTATTCGCGATAACGAAACACGAATCCAAAAATATAAGGTAATCCGTACGCGGCGTGTTTGAACGTAAGAAGCGAGAACGTTTTGGCAAACGTTGCACGATCGTGGACCAATAACGCGAAGATAAACGCGGCCTTATCGCGCACTCGTATGCCTGTATACAACCTACGTTACAGCTTGTCATTACCAGTACACGTACTATACTCGTCATTTAATGGTTTACCCGACGCCATAAAATCTTAAAAACCGTCGTAAAAATAATGTTTACTTTCCCCGGAAACGGAATCGTGCCGCGAGACACTTTAAAGCGATCAACATAACCTGTTTTCATCGCATTTTTCTATATATTAATAAACGTAACGCCGAACGACGAAAACTAATCCAGCGTATCATCGTGAAACGGTTTTAGCGAAAATAACGCGCGAAAAAAACCATTGAAAATGGAAATATTTAAACGGGATGGAAACGCGTAAGAAATCGTGTAGAAAATTCGAACACCGAGATATATCTTGGAGGTATTAAAAAATGGCGGCTGATCGGATCTGAAATGGGACCAACCTTGCTTGTGCCTCGTCCAAACTCTGATCGGTGATGTTCATGATTTGTTGAAGTATTTCACCGATATCTTGCTTCCTAGCTTCGGCAGCCTGATCCGGACCCTGTGACGCGGTTCCATCGACGGGACCCATGCTTCCGTACCCGGCGGTATTTTGGGCCCCCTGGCCCTGGTTCCCTCCCATTAGACCAACACCTGATCCACCGTGTTGCAACATCCTGCTAGTTTCATCCATCAACCGTGGACTACACACTGGGAATATTATCCGCCGTCCCTCCTCTTCTTTTCTTGTCTTTTTCTTGGTTTCTTTGTGCCGTCGCAAGAATGAATTCGTTCACGCAGCAGACAACACTCGCGGACTATGGTCTATCGTATACCAGGTGTCGCGGAAAAACACGATCGTAGAAACAACCGTCCCGCTCTTTCACTTAACAATGACGGCGACGACTCCAGTACTTGGAGGAAATACGTTCCATGCACGTGCTCTCTCTCTTTCTCTCTCTCACTCTCTTTCTCTTTCTTTCTCTCTCGCTCTCTCTCTCCCTCTCACTCGTGCGACACTTCATATATGGAAGCCCAGGCAGCAGGCATGCACTTGTAAAAATATAATCTCTCGTAAATAATGTGTACCAAATACTCCTTCGGGGCGATCCACAAAGACAAGGAATTCCTATAATGCGCGGCACGATCGGGTCGCTTGGAGGTTATGCCGCCGTGGCCTTTGTCTCTTACGTATCTCGTTTCGCGTTTTAACTCGTTCTCGCTTCTCTTGATCACTTTTCGTCTCTCGCTTGCTCGCTCACGCTTTCATTCTGCCTCTACCTTTCTGGATGCCCTTCGTTACCCCTTTTACTTCTGTTACAGCTTTGTCTTCGTATCTTGTCTTCTTTGCCTTAGGAGCATTCCACGTTGCGTGACTAATAATCGGTTTCTAGATTGGTATACACACTACGAGGATGATAAAAACGGTGCAGCTTCGGCAGCTTTAAACTTGACGGATTGTCGGATTTTACGTATACACGATTGTGTCGACGGTCGGCGTCGTGCCCGGGCCGCATGCACTCTCCTTTCACTCGCTCCTTCCTTCGCTTGGCAAGGATACGTTGTAGAAGCTGAGGAAAATCGGCGTTCTTCGAGCCATCCGCGCACGGACGTCACACACCAACTCTCCCTCCGCCTTACAAGGCAACGCGCGGACCGACCGTTTCTGTCGCTCTTTTCACTCTTCTCGGCCGCGAGCGACTGGTACGCTCCTGATGCACACGCGTGTACATGCGTCTGTGTGCATATAGAGTGCTTGGTGTGGGTGCGTGCGTGCGCCAATCGGCGGCCATTATAGCCGCCTCGACCAATCAGAGCGTTCGATTCATTTCCTTCTTTCTCCGGCCAAAGCGTGTTCCTCGCTCGCTCTATCGTGTTATTGTCCGCGTGCGCATCCACTTTATTTACGACGCGACCTCGTCGCTTTTCGTAATCCGTTCTCCTTAACCTGTACCGCGTACGTTTCAAATTTCCCCGAACCTTGATAAAAATGTATCAAAACTGATCCTTCGATACACCGTCCGTAAATCCCTTGGAAAATATATAAACAAATTTACGTCTTTTACCTTGTATCCCGACAGGCGCAAACTCCGCCCATTCCTTCGACTTCTTTTTTTTTCCTTCACCACTAACGTTTCATTTAAGAGTTTACGTCATTATTCTACAGAGTTTTACCGAAAAAATAATCAAAACCAAATGGATAATCGTAATCTAGCCTTACTGAATGCTGTGCGAATAAAATGATAGAACTTCGTGCTTGAGAAATGTAAATTACGAGTGCAATAAGGCGCAAGTCCATTACAAAAACATGGCTACGAATTCAACCATTTATAAAACGCGGGAAAATACAAATATTTTATCAGACTTCAATTTTATTGTTCTAAAATTCTTATATTTAAATTCATTTCTATTTCAAATTTCAATTACCATTTAATTTTTCAAAATTAAAAATAAAGATGTTATTGAGTTTCTTTTTTAAGATTAATGTTACATCATAATACGTAACATATTTGTTGAAAAGAAATTTTAATCAAAAAGAAACATTCAAACAGATCTGATATATTCTTGACCATTGTTTAACAAATATTTAACAATAAATATGGTTAACATAACGTTTCAACATACCTATTCCCATGACACTGAGTTTGCGTTCATTTAACCTAGCCTCACTTTGAAGTTATCATCTCCACGTTGCGTTATTCCGTGTCTCGAGTTTTAAAATTTACATTTATTTGTTTACACTGACAATTTCCACAATTCGATTTCAATCTATATTAACCAATTTAATATTTACACTTAAATTTGGAGAGTATCAAAGTATGTTTAAATCTTCGCCGGGTTTACAACAGTGTAACCGATAACATACAACTGCAAACAAAGCGACGTAAGAAAAGCACATTACAAATTGTGATATATTCGACATTTTTTATTTGAATATGGATGTATCAAAGTATTATTCTAGAAGAAATGATGGTTCTTATGTTGTGCATTTTCCTAATTCCGAAGGAACAAGTTTAGATGAAATTAACAAAATATTTTCTGCTTTTGGTAAAGTTTTATCTATTGATGATCGAGGATTGTGCTTTGTAAGATATCAACATCTAATGGATGCAAAAACTTGTGTCGAATCTTTACAAAATCATCCATTTATAAAAATTTTACCGCATAAAAATAAAATATCCACTGAATCTAAACAAAAGCAAAATCTAAACAAGAAGACTAAAGAATCCTGCAAGAGTCAATTAAAAAATACAATGACTAGTAAATCATTCAAGAAAGATGTAGATGATCAGAAATACAGTGAATCTGTCTGTTCTGAAAACAGTTGTACTAATTCGTTAAAAAGTATTGACAATGATAATCATTCCTCTAGAACATCACCCTTAAAACACTTTGTTAACAAAGATACAAAGAGAAATAAAAGTTCACGTGATGAAGATGAAATTCCATCATTGATTTCCAATGACCAAATATTTATGTCTGATAATGAATGTTCTACATGGAATGGAATAGCTGTACCAGCTCATGAAGTAATTGTAGCTAATGTCCATCCTAAATTTGGAATACATTATATACTGCATCTTTTTGAAAAATATAACCCAATATCCGCGTCATTTATGACCGTGGTACCAAAAGCAAAAATAAGATATTGTCATGTTTACTTTCAAACACCTGAAGAAGCTTTAGCAGTCGAGAAAGAATTCGATACGCAAATCTTGCATGGAAACAATCTTATTGTTTTAAGATCACAGAAATTAATGCAGGATATCCTTTTAACATAAATGTGTTTTTTATATTAAATTTTTTGTACAATATAAATGTGTTTTTTTAATGACTTACATACAAATGTTCAATAAAATTGTATCATCGGGTACTAGAACGTAATACAAACAATCATAATTAGATACTGAATTTCTGTACACCTGAACTAATTGTAAAGTTTAAAACATCCTATATACTAGGTTATAGTATTTAAATATGCATAAATGTAATGTATTTCTCAGGTATTTGTTACACTTCATGCTAATTATTTGTAAACGAATAATTATGTAACAACACGTTCTAGATGAAAAATTGTAACAGTTTATGTATAGAAATATTTTTTATGCTCATTTATAATTAAAGACTACCTGCCAGTTATGTTTAGTTAATATACAATACTTTTATAATAAAAATTTATAATTTTTTAAGAGTCTGTTAAACGTCAATTTTGTATGTTCCATAGAATTACGAAAAAGAACAAAACTGATGCTTTGTATCAGATTTCGTCGCAAAGTTTGCCTTTTCATGTAAAAATATATAAAATTGTTAAAGATACAGTTTCAGTGAAGTCCCTTACGATTCTGTACGGACAAAAAGAACATGCTAAACTTTCCCTCCAAATTTGATGCCAATCGATCAACTAAAACTTGAGGTGTATCTGTATTATGGACACACGTCCATAATTTTGTTAATTTTACGAATTAAGGCAATATCCATTATTAAAAATATTTTCCGGGTCATATATTTTTAGAAAATAAAATTTAAAAAAATCGATTTTTTGAAGGTTCTCGACTATAGAATATCGTCTTAACTCCCTCGCTTTATGAGTTTGCGTAGTAAATTCCAATTTCTAACCTATACATTGAAATATTAATTTCTGATAGTGAAAACGTGCTTGTAGTTGCTCTTTTGTAACGCCGTTTTTTATTTACATTCTGATCTCGTACATGTGTGTTGCAAAAAATATGCAGTCAAAACCATTTAACGAAAGTGTTGTCAAGCATTTACTACAACAAGAGAATGACTTCATCTTACAAATATTTTCAAGTACACCGTTGCCTTTTGCTAAACAAGGTTGATATATAATGAAATAAATATAACCTTTAAATTTTCATGACATTTTCAATAACGATAAAAGTTAAAATCTTATTAGTTTCAGGCGAACAGGATCAGTTAGTAACACAGTATGTAAACGCTGCACCAAAAGGTTTGTATTTATTGGCATTTTTGCATTGTATGAAATTCTTTTTCTTTTAAATGTAATTACCTTTTATTACACAGGTAAAGTGTTCCTAAAACTAAGCGGAAACATGAATCGAGCAAACACGTTTAAAGGGCTATATACTAAACTCGAAGGATTAAAGAATGTTAAAAAACTAAAGTATAAAGACAAAAAGATAAAAAGGAATTTGAAAACCAGAATAAAGAAGATTTCAAAGAGGGAAGAACGGGTAATGCAAAACAAGTTGATTAAGACAGAACAAAATGCAGCTGGATTATCTAAAATTAAAAAAGAAGATGGGGAAATGCCAAAAATTCCAAGACCAAAACCTGTGTTTAATTCGGAAGGTAAAATGGTGTTTAGTAAATTTGATTTTTCTGAAATTGGAACTAAAAAAAAACCACCTAAAACTGGAAAAGATCCAAAGAAACTTTTACTTCAATTGAAACAAAAGAAAGAAAAATTTAAAACAATGGAACAATCGGGTGAAAAAGAAAAAGTTCAAGAACTCAAAGAAAAAGATGCATGGAAATCTGTTCTGGCAAAAGCCAGTGGTGAAAAAGTAAGCAAAGCAATATTTAAACTTATGTACATTGTTCGCAACTTTAAGAAAATGTTTAAATATTTTGTATTGTCGTATTGTTACAGGTGAAAGACGATCCTGATTTACTGAAACGCACAATAAGTAAAAATGAACACAAGAAGAAACATAGTGCTAAGAAATGGGAATCTAGATTAGAAAATGTACAGAAAGGACTTCAAAAAAGGCAAGAAAAACGACAAGAAAACATCATGAAACGGAAAAAAGATAATAAATTAAATAAAAAGAAGAAAGCTGCTAAAAAGGGACGCGCGATGCCTGGATTTTAAGTTAAATGTATAAAATAGTATGGTTCAAAGTCATTTATTATCGAAGATTTCTTCTGTGTATTATGCATCATTCATTGTGCATAACCTCCTCAGTTTGTTGCATTAAGAACAACGAAAGACAGATATCGAGCAGTAGGCATAGCTTGTTGCACATGGTAATTCATAATGCTTTATTTACATATTTTGATTTCTGTTTGTACACGATGTTAACAAATTTTTATTCACCCTAATACATTCTTAGCATACACGTACGTTAATAGCTTGTGTCATGTAAAAAGCGGCATGCTATAGCGTGTTATACAACTATGTCGGTACAAAATTTAGTATACATTAATTTCTGTTGCGTGCGCGGAATTTGTTCATAAAGTTTGGTATCTGTTCGTAATGTAAATTTTCTTTGAATCAGTTCACGTTATGGCACTTTCTGCGGTCTCGAAGTTGATTTCGAGATATCGTAGGTATCGATTTCTCTTTGTAGACGTCTTCGTTAGTTCGTTCGAAAGTTTTTAGTAGATGATGGGCAAGTCGAGAACGAGGGCTTCGATATAGCCGCCCTCTTCAACCTCCTGCTAGGTATCTCCAAGAGCAGAACTCACGGCGTTAGCGTGTGTCAATGCCGTCCAAAGCGGACTGTGATCTACGGGCAGTGGTACCGCCGATTTTGATGGTCGAGGAGACCTGGAAAATAAAATAAATGATCACTGTGAAGCGGTGTCTTCTTTCTGTAATATTCGTATTTTATTCTCGACGAGTTATACACGAAATCCCTTCTAACTTTATCGCCAGAAATACTTCATCCACGTTAAGTAATTAAACGAAATGTTGTGTCTGCATTGTGTGATTTCGTCGGGACGATGTCAAGAAGAAATTAAGAACACCTTGGTATGATTCTGAGATATATATCTTGGAATGCTATGTAACACTGTAGGAAACATTCTTTATGAGTCTAAAGTAGAGGAAATATTTCAATTGATAAAGTTAAGCTTAGCAACATGTATTCGATTACAAAGATCGATATTTAAAATGTCGGAATAGGAGACGGGGTCGGCAATGTAGGTTCTGTATGTGTACAGTTTACCACTGAGGAGGTGCACTTCGGGACAATAATTCGTTTTGTGAAAGGGAAAATCACCAGCTCTGGCATCAATTAAAACCCTATCCCCTTCGAGGAGGCATAATGGTTGATGTTTAAGCTAGTAACTTTCCTTTCTCACGGCACGAATCATTGTTTCCAAGTGTATTGAATAAACTTACTTACGCCAAACAAAGTGCAGGATAAATTCACATACGAGTTATAGAATAGATCTAGAAACGGTATAGGGATAGTCTGGATATTCTATGGAAGGTAATGCCTCGTAAGCTGAAGTACCGACATAGCGAAAAATCAGTGGTTATGTAGCGCACTCTACGTCTAAGGATCATTTTAGAAATCATATTCAACTTAACCAACGAAGTGTGTCCGTTAGGAAATCGAAGAATCGTGTCCTTTGTTGCTACATTGACAAACATTTAAATTTAAAGTTAATTTATATACGCGTTGTACATAATGGTCGTATGGTTGTGAAATTAAGGCATTTACATCGCTTATATTATTCATGAATCGCATGGTACATCGAAATTAAACGTTCAAGATACACGGTAAACTGGATGCATAGAATAGACGATACTAGAAAAGTGTAATGACAATAAATTTGTGGGAAATCGAACATTAACTTGGTCTCTTGGTTTTTTGTTTGTTTTAAAGACATAGTTTCTATTCGAAGCATCCTCGATTACATATATCAATAATGTTATTAGAGATACGAGGTTTGGTAGTGATAATTTTTCGTTCAAAAGTACGAATTTCAGTGCGAGGTTAGGCTAGCCCCACCTACCGGCTAATTCGGTGTTCGATGGTTTAAGGCGGGATCGTCATTCGTACCGTAGAAATTGGCGCGATAAGACGTGTCAGGAATTTTACGACAAACGAAGTGAGTTCGCTTTACCTATTGATATCTAATCGTCGTTATTACTCCTACTTACACTTTATCGATGCCTTAATCTAATAGTAATACATTCTTAATTATAAATTCAATTGACATTATGAAAAGATTACAATCGTTTTCGCGGTTTTTTCTCTGTTCTTCACAATGTGCTAATTGGCACTTTTTTTATGAATTACCACGTTTTGCAAGTTACTTTGAGCTTCGTTGTTGCTTAATTATAACAGAGCTACATTTCTATCAACGAATTTTGCTCTAAATTTATCGTATTTTCTGTTAGGGGTTGCTGATCGAAATTTGAGGCGGAGATGCAACGCCATCGACGCCATCTTGGTTACCGTTCAAACGTATCGAAAGTTTACGAAGAATAGGTAACATTTTTAAGTTTATTAAAGCAAAGAAATTATAATTTCGTTGGCTCATGGTTTTTGTATCAAACGGGAAAAGCTTTAAATCAAATTTGTTTGTTATTTCGATCACGATAAATACGATGTAATTAATCTTTTGTAAATTCATTCTTACGAAGCTTTATTATTTATTCGTGTTTATTTTATGATGTTAATTTGAAAGTTTCCTTATAGATTCCTCGCATATCATCGCAGCGTCTGTAGAACCGCAATAGTTCTTCAATAAACTTACCTGATGACTTCTAATCGAGACATCCATAACGTCGTTATATGACAGCATCGTCGCCGGTGTATCATGGAGGTTATTTTGTCTTTGGCATGTATGGCACCCGCGGGAATTCACAACACCCGTGAGTAGTAATATCCTATTTTATTTCTAAATTCAGTGATGTATAATTCATAATACGACGAATGATTTTCACTGGAAATATTCATGGTCGAGAATATGTTAAAATATGAATATGAACACAATAACGTGATATAGCGTCAATCTTTTTCGATAAATTTCTTAATAATATAGATTTGATTAAAATCCATTTTCTTGGCAATTAAATTTTCTCATAGTAATACATATTTAAGTTTGCTCTTAAATTTTTACAATGTCGAGTCATTTTATTTGAAAAGGAAACTAGAGAGAACAAAAGCATATTATTTCGTTAGGATTTTCAGGATAATCTTTCCGTGTTCATTGCCTACGCTCATTCACGTGCTCGGACGTTGGTCGCGTGAGCGAAGGCAATGGACACGATGACTTTGTTCGTAAGGCCTATGATAACACTCCATATAAGACGTTATCTACGTACAATTGTTCAAATAAAATGTACATATTCCTTTGCATATACATTAACCGTGGTACACATTTTGTGGAATATGTACGAGCAGCTTCTCCATTTTAATACAGTATATTTTATCAACGATTATATTATATCAAAGTAATACATGTTAATGTATATTATACATATAAACACGTTCAATGGTCGCCAGCCTTTGTTTAGCCGATTTCAGCCAAGAAGTACGTACCTTTGTTTAGGTTTATCGCATCCGGGCGTTACGCGTGAAAGAGTGTTGTATGTTTACGAGATTGCCTTCCCATTTTGTAAATATTGGACTAGGTAGGTAGGTAGCTTACCTTCTGGAATGCCTGTGCTAGACACAAGTACGTAAACAGGTTGGTCACAGTCTTCGTTCGGTTAGGCGTGTTTTTGCGTGACAAACCTGACCTACAGTTTAATTCGAACAGTCGACGCTGATCCAAGCGGAGCCATTTGCCTTTGGTTTTGCCTTCTGTTCTTCAAATCCCACGCGTGTCGGTTCCTGGACTTATTAATTTTAGTCAAATTTCGTCGAGCCGCGAAACTACTGATTTTTCGCGAGATTGTTACTTCAGTTCGCGGGTCACCAACTTTTCTATATCTCGTTTTGTTAGTTTCGTTCTTCGAACAAACAGACGGGGTCAATCGTGGTTTTTCTTCCGAACAAGACACAGAGTGTTCATAGTGTAAACCTATTCAAATTCGGATTGCAAATAAAAAGAGATGATGAAGAAAAACCCGACCTGGGCGGTACCAAAGCTGGATGTTAATCCGGACTGCTAAGTTCCAGCGCGGTGCTCTGTTCAGGATCCGATCGTTCTTCGACCACGGTGTCCAGATCCAGCGACGGAAAGGCTCTCGATCCTCGATCGCTCCGTAAGGATACTGCTCTCGTTGAACGATCGATTCCGGCTGTCACATACAAATGAAACTTTAATACACATTGAAAGCAATGCACGGGCCTAGTTGCTTGATAATTATTCGCATTAGTGGACACTTGAAATATTTTGCAGTGATTCATAATTTTTCATAATATTTAATTCGTTCAAACGTTCATTCTGCAACGTTATCCGCATAAAAATCTAGGAACATTATCTCGTGTATCTCTCCATGCTCGTTTAACATATTATTTTCAAGCACCAGTTACAGGTTCCGTGTAATTATTTCTGTGGTTCACAGTTTCGTGGTAATATCTCCCAGCATTTAAACAACTGCACCAATTTCCAACAGTCAGATACATTTGTGCTTGACCCGATACTCTTTGTAGAGTTCGAGATATCCGCTAATGTAAATAATTATCGTTGGATCTCGAGTCATTAAGCGTTCTGTTCGACGAACGTCCGCTAATAAGTTCGTGGATAAAAGTGTACGTCAGAAATACGTCATTGGTTAGAATCAGTATCGACTAAATGCATTCTAGTGGAAACATTACGAGTTTCGAACTATATGTCTCAATCGTATAATCGTTCAAATGCATCGCTACGCTTGCAGAGCAAATACTTGAAATTAGTTACATGCGAATTACGATGTCAAATAACGTATTCATGCCACTGCACCGTGAGCCGCGTCAAGACGTAGCAAAGCTGCATAATCGTTCGGCGGGTAAATTGTTCCAACTGCTATTATGTTGAATCATTGTAATCGCGTGGCAAACTCCGCGATGAATTATTTATATCGTTGATAATTCCTGTCGCTTGCTGTTCGAATCAACGAAACCTTAATTAAATTCTATCTTAAGTATACAATGGCAGAAGCGGCGGCGGCAGATAATGGCGCATTAAGAAAAAAGAACCGCGAAGGTTCTGATAAAACTCTAACGTCTCTAGAGACGATATCAAGCAACATTCAGGCTGATAAAAAGTTTTACCTAAATCCTCTTTAGACGCTGCGCTTGACGGGATCATAAAATAAGGGATATATTTCAGTTCGTAGATCTTCGAAGAGAAGTTTATTAATTCTCGGATTACAATCCTTTAAAAAACAAAAAATTCCCAGAGTTTTCCAACGTTCCCTCGTTTCGATTGCTTTCGTTTTTTTAATTCAACGACGTAGCTAAATATGTCAAAATTGTATTTTACGAAGGATCGAGTGAAAATTATGTCCTGTTAGACCCACTATATCGTCTCCTTCATCCGACGTCTGTCCTCGTTGATCGGAACCTTGACTCTTGCGTGTGCCTAACAGCGATCAAAGCGACGCCGTTTGTCAAGTTTCGCAGCCCGTAAATCTAGGAGTCGTAGGACCCTGACGGGTCACAGTAGTTCCTGTGCCGTCACTAACCCGCCATATATCATAGGCGTCGAGTTTACTCGGCGAAAACGAAGCAATCGTGTCGACGAATATTTCCAGATCGTTGTTTCGCAGCGAGATCTATGACCGATGGAATTTATTTTCGAGGTTTGTCAGCGATTCCCCGGGGTCGAAATTCTCGCCTATTACCTTTTACAACTTTTTCTCGCGCAAAGATACGTCGATATCATGTTTCCCATGAATCGATTCATGTAAATATTCCGCGTATGTTAGTGCCCGAGTAAGACGTTCGAGAAATGAATACCTTACATATTTTACACGTATTTTACTGCGTCGTATTTTCGCAGAAAATATGAAACACCTCGTAAAGTATTCGTTTTACGATGATCCTACTTTATTACTTCTACACGTAGATTTAAAACGGGCGCGACTTTTAAATCTCGAAACCAATTTCGCTCGGAACAAAGCCTCGTACTTACCATAAGACCGGTCCCTTTGAACTCCTTCGACCCTCGAAAAAGCAACGCGTTCGATTCGATATATTTTCGGTAATATATTCATCTTTGAATCGAAACGTGTCACCCCGTAGACTCGATAGGTCGCGGAGGCTGAATCTAGGCTCTATCGAGCATCGCTAGTGTAGGTCAAACAAGCTAAGCGTAGATCGAATTCGACCTCCTCTCGGTCTAAAAGCGGAGAGAAAGTTCCCATTTATGGCTGAGAGTAAGCTCAGTATTTAAACTGAGCTCTGAGAGTCGCACCAATTCGTTTATATCGTATTTCAATCACTGTCGGAACGTTGAAGGATCGAGATTAATTTGTATCAATCACGGTAATTCCTATATGTAATTCGATTGTAATTCCTGCACAATTTTGGCCTCTGTTCGAAAATGTAGGCTGGGAATTTCGACTCGTCCCCTATTCCATCTACGAACGATACATCTACATATCGGCAATTACCGACGCTTATGGGACGGAGATAATTGAAACTTATGAAAAACCGATAAAAGCTTTCGCATTTTTTGTCGGTTATTTTGACGGAGATTAATTACTTTCATCGCGGCTCACCGTTGATGCGTTTCGAATATTTCGAAATCGTTGCATGAATTCGGTTATTCGGAGCAACATTCAATCTGGGTTTAACGCTTCTCCATATTCCCTTTACGCGCGTGTATATTTATACGCAGGGTGTTTCACAGGTTTCCGCATACAATTTGCTAACACGTTGTGTCTACGAGTAAGACAAAAATATCGTACGAATGCTTTATTAAAATTTAATAAAAATATGGAGTACGAAGAAAATCGTACGTTTTAATAAGGACTCGCAGTTTCAATTCTTGCTCGCGAAATAACAGTTTACGATCTCGAAGACGTTAAAAGTAGTTATGTTGTTTTGAACTGGAGGAAGTATCGGCGTAAGTTTCTTAATAGAACAGAAAGTGTATTCATATCGTTGGTGCAACTTTTCTCGGCAGAACATTTACGAGTTCACAATTAGATGGCATTTTCGTCGTATTTCTAGCCGGTGTAACGTGTTAACAAAGTTTGCACGGAAACTTGCGGGACACTCTGTACAGCGAAGTCTGTGCTCCGAGCATGTCTGAATACGCGCGTGTACGGGCGGTTTACAAGAGTGTACAAGCGAGTACGTGGAACTGTATGCATTCGAGCGTACAGGTGTACGTACGCATTCAATGTATCTAGGTAGAAAAGCGACCACGGTAGCTGTTAAAGAGGCTGGCTAGAGAGGGGAGAAGGGGTGGTTCTAAAATACAAATGTTCCATGACCTCGTTCCGTTTTCGTTGCATAATACGCGCGTGCACAAACGTATCCCTTAAAGATTCGCACCGGTTTAATTACGAATTTCACAATAGCGTCGCAAACGTGCTCGTTTTTTTTTTCTAAACGAAAACCACAATAAAGATAACTCGACCCAGAAATCTTTCCTTTCGACAACTCTTTTTAACGCGAACGTTTTCGAACATCCGTCATCCGTTAAATCCAGGCCCCTTTGTACCGTCGTCGTGACGCGTGACAGAACAGAAGGAGAAAGTGGATTCCACGAGGAGTCGAGCTCGCTGGCGAAACTCACCTAAACGATGAACAGGGCTGAAACGAACTAGGCTCAGGGCACCGTGGTCCAGGTCACAGTTTCTTCTTCTGGCGCGTTCCCTCGCGAGCTTCGCTCTTCTTCTCAGGCAACAGATGACCATCAGTGCCAGCAACGGAAAGCCTAGGATACACGACACTATCGGGATGATGATGCTCTCCGGGGTCACTGGAAAACCAGAATTCAATTTTTAGACTCGACGATAGCTTGCATAATTGTATTTCGCGCCGCGAAGATCTGGGATACTCGGTATATTCGGGGCTTGATCTCGATTCCGATTGAATTTCGATAGGTTTCGAATGTCCATCGATCGTACCGTATAAATACCTCCCCGGGCATATGCTCTCTTATTTCCCCGCGTTGGATCGACGCCAGATTCGCGGGCGTATATACTCCCTTAACGAAGCCGTATTATACTCGCCCTCGAGACAATTTCTGCGAGTTTAACTTGTTAAACGAACTGACTGGAACGGAGAATAAATGACGCGGTTGCCAACCGCTTCGCGAAACCAACAAGTTTCCAGGGTCGAAAGGCAATACCGAATCTTGGAACGAACGCGAGCGATTTACGCAACGGAGTGAATAATTTAGGACACGTATTACACAACAATGGGTACCGCCGTACAAAGCTGCCCCCGGATACAGGCGAGAACGGCTTAGAAGCGGAACGAGGTTTTAACGAAACCGGCGTCCATTGAATTTAGATTTAACACCGGGTTACGCGGATTCCAGACGCGATGTAATTTATACGCCTGTAGACGTTGTGTACAACGATGAATCGCCGTGGTTCATTTTCGAGGTTTCGCTCTCAGAAACAGCGAGCTATCATCGTGCTTTACGCTCGCTGAAATTATAAGGGAGATCTTCAACAAGCGGAAACTACACGGTAATAAACTGGCGCTCGTTGAAGTCGCTTCACAGAGCCAATTTTCCCGACGGTGCCGCGCGCGCGCTTGAATAGAATGTTAATTGCAAACTGTGCCTAAACGTATGCGAAACAACCAGGCGGTGCCAAGGGTGATATGGATTTAGATCTATCCAAAGATTCGCGTCTCGATGTTCCGTTCGTGCAATCCCGGGTTTCAGAGTCACCGCGGAGACTACGTGAAATGAACCTGCGTAAGACGTTTCGCCTCTTTTGCAATCTCTCTCGCCGGATCGTGCGGATTTGGCTTTGATCATAGATCTCTTTGAGACTCTGATCGGGAATTTGCATAACGACACCCCAGGAATCGATAGACACGTATGAATCTTCTCGAGGATGGGAGCTATTTCGAATTGCAGTGAAATCGAATTACTACCCTTTTTATTTTCTGTATTTTTATATACTGGAAGCTAACGTAGAATCTTCGTCCCTATATATTTCGTAATTGCATTAGCCTTTTATTCTCCACTGACCCTTGACCCTCGAAATCGACGAGCATCCACTTGCTTCGTTGCTTCTTTAAGTACACAGTCCGTGGCTCCCTCGCGCAAAGATTTCAACGAGACACTTGACTCTTTAGCAAACCCTTTAAGTCCACGAAAAGTCCGACTTTCAAGGAAAATCCGCGAGGAAATTTTATTTGTCTTCCTCCCACGATTCTAAGGACGAAAGTTTTCTATCGTTGAAAAGGATTTGGTAACGTATTTCTAAAAATTGCGACCGACGCGACTAGAAAAGTTCAACGATACAATTTTTCAATTCGGTTGATTTCCATGTAATTGAATCGTTCCGTGATAATGAAAGCAATCCTTTTTCGCCCGTCAACCGTTTGAGCTTCTGCGATTTTTGCGCAAATAACTAAATTAATTAAAAATTTCGAGCATAGTTTTGGACGTCAACGTCTGACCGTCGCATTTAAAACTGGCGATCCGGTAAAAGTACAAAAGGAGAATATTTCGAGGGCATTTTTATCGCGTGCAAAATGCAGCATTCGTTCTACGATTATTCCTCCGTGTTCGTCGACTCATTTTCGTTTAAAAATGTTCAATAGTTGACTGACGATCGTACAAAAGAGGCGGAGATTAAAATTAAAAATGTCAGAACTTTTTCAAACGATCGCACGAATCGCTGTTCGTAGTATTATGCGATACAGCGGGATATGAAAAAATAAATCTTACCTGTTGGATATACTAAGATCGTTGGTCTCTTCGATTGTGGGATCGTGGGCATAGTTGGTCGTCCTGCTCTCACCTCGACCGACATTTTTCTTCCGATCTGGAACAGAATCGGTCCCTCGAAATAACCAAACTCCCTAATCACGCTACGCCGTGATCAAAAAGTCGCGGGTATCAAGGTCTCGACCAAGCCTGCTTCTCGACGTGTGTTCGTTTTCGTTTGTGAGAGATTTATCCCCGTTCATTATTCGGCGCGTTCCATTTCTTACGAGAGAAAAGTCAAAGCAGCCTCTGGCGTTTCGTCGGTTTTCTAATTTTTCCTCCGTCCTTTTCATTTTTCAACGAAGCGCCGAGGTCGAGAGATCGTCCGTAGACAAGAATGCAAAGTTCTAGAGTTTTGCTTTGACATCGTTTCCGGTAGTAATTACGCGTCTTGCCTTTTTCCTCGTTAGTCTCGTGCCACGCGACTAGACTGTGTGATCTCTGCATGGTTTATCGCGAAACGAAACACCGCGTACGCGTACGTATAAATTCTGTCTCGTGCGAGCTTCTATAAACGAAGAGAATTCTGCACGATCGATTGGTTTTTCGGGCTCGTCAACATTACCCAATTATTAAAGATGAATTTCACAAACATTTGGAAGACCAATCGATTCGATGTGAACGTCGTAACAATTTTAGCGCGATATTATCGGAAAATGCTTTTAAAATATTTCGTCCCTTTGCGCTTTCATATTTGCACGAAGTCGGATTTTCTTTGTGTCGCCTCGTTCGAAGCAAAATGTCGCGAGAGATTGGATGCAGAAGCAGACGCAAGAGTTCGGATGCCTTCTATGGAGCCAGAGATTAAAGAGCTTTGTAAAAATGCAGAATAATGTCACGTATCTCGTTAAACGATTCTTCGTCGAACAAATTTTTAACAAGTAATCGATCGATATATTATAATTAAATGTACGAAAGCTCTTTTAGGCTCTATAGAAATACATGTTTCGCACGCGTTGCTCTATACAGCCATTATTTATAATTTTGTTCTTAAAAAATATCGTTTTTCGGCGGCGATGGTTTTTAAATCATTGCAGAATTCCGTTTTATCGCGCGAAGAGCTCCCATTGATACACGAGAATTGACTTTTCACCTGCTCGGGACGAAAGCGCCATTTGTCTTCGCCCTTTGTTTTCGCGACACTTTTTCCCCCGTCGCTTCCACTCTTCTTTCCCTTCTCTGCACTCAGAAAAGCAATAATGCTTGAACGTGCTGGTGTGAATATCGAGAAAGCGTGGAAACGTCTGTCTGTGTGAAGACTTCTACGATTTCCTCGGTCCTGAATTCTCTTAACGGTAGGTTATTGCGAGAGGACTTAATTTATCCCGGGGAAATAGCCTGAGGAACGATTCTAATTCTGGTTTCCCGGATGTGATCGTACGCGATTCCGCCGATCGTTGCCCTTAATGCGTTTAAAACAACCGTCAAAACGTGTTTTTAATTTAATCACGTCGTCCGAAAAAATTACCACGATTCGGATCAATTTGTTCTCGTTAAATAAGCGCGTACTTTTTATTATTTGCAACGGTGGTACGAAACGTATACGTGGAAACGGTTTGTTGGTGCTCGAAGAAGGAGAAATTCAATTGCAATTGGAAAACAAGAGCAGCCGCGCCCTCTCAGTGTTAATTATCGCGCCACATCTAATCATCCTACTCGAATCGAAGCTCATTCCGCTAAGTACAGTCGAGTTTAATTCCCCGGGCGACGCGACGGGGGTGGCTCGTTAGCTTTCGAAACTACTCGGAGGAACGTCTCGTTTCCGGGCCGCGCCAGATATCTGTACTTCCACCTTCCTTTTAGTCCTCGTGCAGTTTTTACGCTACCCGAATATTGCCCCTATAAATTGTCCTACATACGCGTCCTCGCTCGAAAGAGCCCGGTCGAACACGAGCCCCCTGGGAACCCCGACCCCGATGGAGAGGAGCTGTTATCGTACCTCAAAGAGGCGGTTCCGAAACGACAAACAATTTTCTCTATTCCCTATTCGAGACGTATGTACGCCGTCTCTTTTGCGTTACGATTATTTTACGAGCTGAAAAAGATAAAAGATAGCTTGCATCCTATGGATCACGCAGATCAGCGACGAAGAATCTTTGTTAATTTCCATACCTTTTCATGGTTGAAAACGTCTAATAAAGGACCACTTTTAAAAAGGACTTTTCTACCATCGTCTAGAGGAAACTTGGACTTCTTCCAAAGTATTGATCGCGACGATTCCTTATCCTGCGAGTTTCAGAGCTATCGAATAGATTCACCCGGTACAATCCGGAAATTCGAAATCACTTTCATTGTGATCCGAGATTTCGCGAAGTCTGCTCGAAAGTAGGTCGTTCAATTTTCACCGGGATGCAACACCTGCATCGCGTATTACACGCTACGAAAAGTAACTCTATTTTCTAATCTTCGACACCTTCGATAATCTCTGCAATTTGGATTTACAATTTTTTCTCCACACTTCACGCGAACGGGAGCGAGCCAATAGCGTCGAAGATCTCTTCCCCCGAGGGGGCGAAACGGTACAGTGCACCTTGCGAAAAAGCTGCATTTGCATCATCCTCGAGTTACGTCCGCCTTATCGTCGTTGGCGCAGAGCGTGGCCACTTCGATTATTTCGCGGCGCAGCTTGTGGCCCGCTATTAATTTCGTGGATCCGCGAAAACGGCTCGCGAGGAAAACGCTAGTCCGCGATACGCAATTTAGATAGCCCCGTTATCTACGTTATCAGCCCGTGTGCCGCGTATTTCGCGCGTTGCAAATTAACGAGCGTGTTTTCGATCACCGCGCGTCCATGGCTGGACCTAGGATTGCGCTACGGAAATCTCTTAAGCTAAATTATCGCTGCATTCCATCTTCCACACTCTAAACAAAGAGCCTTCTTTGGATCAAATGGGCTAAATTTGGATTGCAAATTAAAGTACTGTATTTTGAAAAACCAAACGCAACGAAATACACACGTGAGCTATCGTGTACACGGTCGCCGTTTCTATTATGTTTTCCTCCGTTGCTCAGCCTAGGGGCTACATTTGTCGTTGGAATTCGATCGAAACACGAAACTCCTGACGGATTCCCGAAACAGTGGACGCACGCGTGTGCCTTTGAACGCGCACCCCCAAAGCGTTATCTCTATTTTCTCTGAGGCGTGTACAAGCTTTCGAACAATCCCCAGCGGTTCTGCCTTGCTAAACCATGGAATTAAAATTGGATGCTGCGGGCCATGGAACGTACAAGGTTCGTAGTTCGTCGCCGGTATCGTTAAACGAAACGTTTCCAGATCGATCTTTAATTCGCGACGAATCGTCTGTTTCGAATTTCGTTTCCGGGGGGCTCGATAGATATTTCCCGCCGTTCGATATTTACTCGGCACACCGTTGAAGTTTCGCGGGATTCGAAGAACGCGGGTAAAATTGGAAGAACCGATACGAGCAGCAATTTTCCAGGGTCTATTTCGACGGGAGGAATGGTCGATCGCAGTCGCTCGATTCCCCCGGAGCTTCCATTAATTAAAGCTCTGTTCGCGATTACATCGTGGTTAAACCGTTCCGGGTTTCGCTCTTTCGCGTTTCGAATTCCGTTGCTGTTGTTCGCGTGCTCGTCTTCCAGCGAAACTTCGTCTTTAACCTTTCGGCCAGCACCTCTGGGGATGACATCGAATCTCGTCCGGCTATACGTAAGTCGCAATTTCGAGTGACTGGGTTCAAAAGGTTGCGGTCGATGTTTACCGGAAAGTTTAGGCGAGCCTGGGCAGAGGTCCCGTGTCGTCGTCGAATTTTGGTTCCCGCGATATCATCCGCCGAGGTTCCTGCCTTTATTAAACTCGTCGTTTGAATATTTATCGCCGGAGTATTGGAGTTTGCCCTTTCGTTGGACGAAGTGCATCGATAAAGGCTTCGGTCGGAACGACATGCCTGGTTAAACGTAGTTAACTCGCTTCCGTGAAATATTGTCCCGCGAACAAGATTAAGACCGATATGTTTTACGCGCTTTGCATATCGAATTTCCCCGTAAGTGAATCGAGTCGCGAAAATCGAATTTGGGCGAACATTGACTTTGCATCGTGCGCGCGTACCAAGCGAAATTACTATAATATTTTCATACACGGTAATTAATCGACGCGAGGTGCTTAATTCGTTTAAATTCTTTCGAGGTTCGTTCAATAAAAGGGAGCATCCTCGCTGAAAATCCTATCCAGGATCGCTTCTCTTGCATCCCCCGCGCGAACGGTAGTTCTCCGACGATTCGAGCCACCGCCATTGTGACCCTTGAGGTAATTGTTCCACTAACTAACGTTGGGCCATTTTCTGTATTTGACACGAGCGCTATTGGGAGAGGCGATTCTGAATCGTGAGCTTTAGGGTTATCTGCCACGGAGTGTGGGTAACGTTCGCCCGTAAATCAAGGGAAATGGTTCCATTCGGAGCGGCTCTATCGAGAAAGAGGTCTGAAAAGTAACCTTTAAAAATATTACCGATTGGACAGGATCTGAATGGAAAGTAGTCGCATTTATCCGCGTCGGATCCGATGGTCGTTTTAAAAGTTGGCCCGCTATTTTGAGTTTTCCGACGAAAATCCTCTCTATCTAGAAACTTCAGTTTTGGGAACGGACAGCACGATTTTCGTTTCATTAAAAATTGCTGCCGGCGTCGAGCCTCTCGCGGAAAAATTTCATCACGATTCCCCGTGTTATCCGTTTCACGGCGAGAAGCGAGGTAGCTTTTTTTGAAATTAACTTTGGCAAACTGCGCGACCCATCCACGCCAAACTTACAGGATATAAAACGAACGACATTTCAAGATACGTAATCAAAAGTCAGCGTCGATCGGTTCGATCCAATATTTATCGAGGATGTTCAATTTGGGCGAAAGTCTAAATAAGCCAATCTTCGGTTAGTACCTGGAAGGAAATTGTCGGTCGGACGAAGATTAATCGAGGCTCCTCGACGCGAACGAAATGTACGGAGTAATTGAGGGATTATCGAAGGCGGGTACAGAACGTCGTTAAGGTGTTTCTATAATAGCACCCGGGATTAACGGTGTCGCCGTAAAAAAGGGACGCGGT